AACCCATACAGCTGAGCTTGGCCGCTTGCAAGATCGGGTATCGACACTGGATCGGGACCTCCAGAAGGCTTCTCAGCGTGCTCAGGCGGCAATCTCTCAGCGTGATCAAGCCAGGGCGGCGCATATCGCTACCCGTGAGTACTGTCTGCATACCTATTTCCGGCGTCGCACTAATTTGTATCTTGTGTCACAGAGGATCGTGTTTCCGCGGCTCGAGACACTATCGCCCGGCTGGAAAAGTGGATTAACCAAGTCGAGAGGTCTCAGAAGTCGCGTCAGGATCTCGAGTCTGCCCTCGCAACGCTTCAGCAGGAGAAAGATGCTCTGGCAGTTCAAAGAGATGAGGTGCTCGGTCAGCTTTGCGAGCGTTTCATGGAGGTCACCGACCTACGGGCCGAACGGGACCAGGCGCAGGAGAGGTTGTCCAACATTGCGTCCCTTCTCCCTTCCGCGCCGAGCCACAAGCGAGCACGCTCTGAGTCCGAGTGTCCAACCCAGTCTACCCGTGTCTCCAAGGCCGCTCGATCGTCTTCACGTCTCTCTCAGGCTGGCACTTCGAGTCATGCCCCTGCATCTACACCCTCGATCGAGCTTGTGTCTGCCGTGGCTGCCGGCCAGAAGGCTGAAGGATTGGTGTTATCTCCTTCATCCGCTGGTCCTCCTGATCATCTCCCTCGATCTGTCCGATCGACCACTAAGGGTGGCAGCGGAGACGTTTCGTCTTCCCTTGCAGCTTCTGAGGCAGGCGCGCTTCGTGATGGTGGCGAGAGCTCTTCCGGCGAATCTGGTTCAACTCACGTTTTTGACTCGGACGCCACGGGAAGCGACAGTGGCTCTCCGGAGTCGAGTCGTGCCAAGAACGAGTTTGGAAAGCCATCCGGTCCTCTATCGGACGCTGAGCTGGCGGCTTTTTTTGCCGCCTACAACGGTTCCCCGATCGGAGTGAATTCCCGGTTATCGCGATTGTCGCAGCTTTCGCGGCCATGGCATCGTCCCCTGGTCTGCGATATTCGTCAAACCAGCATCGTGGAGACGGACGCGGATCTGCTGTTTCACCACTACACCAAGCCGATGGAGTGGCTAATTCCTCTCCGTGA